TGCGGAAAAAGCAGGGAAGGTGGGCGAGCCTTCGATTGCTACTGCCCCAAATGAGTCACCTGGGGCATTCTCATTGATTCAAAAAGATTTAGGAAGAGTCCCTTCAGACATATCTCCCACCCGTCGGCTTCGATGAGAAATATCTTTGATCTCCAGCAACTCGGGGACTCTGTCCGAATCTCTCTCCGATATATCCTCAGTTCAAGGCGGAGCCTTGTGAACCACCATCGATCCAGCTGCCTGTGGAATGTCGATGGTTTTCTTTGTTCGGGCCGCCAGCACAGACCCATCATTTTCTTCTTCTTCTTCTTCTTCTTCTTCTTCTTCTTCTTCATCCCTCAGACGCAGAACTGATTCTACGGTCAAAGGAATGACATTCTTATTCGGCTTACGAGCCGTCCTCTTCTTTGGTTTTTGATCTTCAAGGATGTGGGCTATTTTCCTTTTATTATCTTTCACCGGCTTTGGGACAGAGGCCGAAGCCTCTTCCTCGACGGATGAAGGCCTCAAAACCGCATCCTTGCCCACATCTGCATACGGAATTTTTTTTCGAAATATGTGAAAAATATCTTATTCGAATTATCAAAAGATACGAGAGAGGTGCTCACCATGATTTTTGGCCTCGCATCGGCCCTTTGACAAGTCGCTCCATGAGCACTCGACATATGAGGAGCGAAACCAGATCGCGTACCCAATTCTTGAGATCGGGCACTGCGACGGGCATTCAGGGAACCGTTGCATCTCAAAAAAGGGAATATTGGTGAGAAAAGAAATGAAAGAACAAAATAATAGGAGATAACAGCAGAATTACACTCACGCTTTATGTTCCATTCCTCGGGAAAAGGCATCGTTTCGGTGGGGATCAGGTCCAAAGTCTTCACTCAAACGAACAGGTCCATCCAGCCTCGATCCTTATCCTCGACTATACTCGAGAACAGAGCCTTGGTAGCTCGACGTTGGAGTTTTATTAACCCTCATCGAAAAAGGAGAGGACGGTATAATCGAACAAGATGATCGAGGGTGAAAGGCATCCCCTCGATTTTACTCACAAAATATCGGATCAAAATAACAATCCGCTAAAAGAAATGATGTATCTGGCCTAGGGGACCTAACGTGAAAGGGTAAGTATACACGCTTAAAACCCCTACGTGAGTAGTAATATCCTCTTCGGGAGATGGCACTACCACCTCTTTGTTCTCCCAGTTACAATCTTTTTTTATCCGCTCGATGTGCTCCCGAGTTATCGAGCAAATATATCTCGATACGGGCTCATATTGGCCAGGAACCGGCTAACCTTTATCTAGTTTGAAATCGGAGGTAAGAACACGCCGCCGGAACGCACTCCTCAGGATGAGGGTCCACCGGTATTTTATCGGCGGCGGATTGGGAAGAAGAAGCTTTTTTTTTTTCGAGGATGATTTTGGATGTCTTCACCATTTTGGATTTAAAGAAGGTAACGAAGATTTGGTACTTTGGAAGGAGAATTTTGCAAAGAGAAATCACTGATTTGCGAATAAACTCAGAGAATACGAAAAACAAATTGGGAAATTTGGAAGACTGAAGATGTAAAAGTGATAAATGATAAAAGGAAGGGTTATTTATAGGTTTAAGCAATGGCGGTTCAGTATCAGCGGTGGCCGACCACCGTCTGACATGCATTAAATACCTTAAAAGACTAAATCGACGGGACGACTATCACGTGCGTCATGGTCGAGCCCGATGTAAATGTCAGCTTATAATCCGATCGAGCCGTTGAAAAATCATATCGTTTCTCACCACATTCTTCCTGAGAAACGAAGGGACTATCTGTATACGGTCGAAATAGATTTCGGCCTTCGTACGATTGATCGAGTTCGAAACATAATCAATCAAAGTGAGACTTCGATACGGGTTCCAAAGATGGCACAAACAAGCTTCGAATCTGAGGGGGCAATAAATATCGAGCTCGATATCATTATCGATCCCGAATCCAAATCGAACTATGATACAAAGTAAAGTTATCGAGCTTGTGATCCAGAGACCGACCAACATTGACCCCGAATCAATTCATAGGGTCCGAGTCAGAATCGAGCTCAAGCCAAGATCGAGAGCTCGAGTCAAGACCGAAAACTCCAGTCAATATCGAGCTCATAGACAAGAGCCGTTGCAATCTCATTAGAGGAGAGAATTTTGATAGGAATTGTGGAAAAGCTAATTTACCATGGATCTCCCACTATATATTTTTAATTATATCTAAAGTAAGATCCCTCTACTATAAAGGGGATGGTTATCATTTCTGTAGAGGCAAGTGTTTTGCTTACATTATAATTCGAGCATCATATTCTCCTATAGTGAAGAATTGTTCTTTCAAGCTTCTAAAATTGATTCCACTTGTTTAGTCCTAAAATTCATATTCTTTGCAACCTTATCTATTTTGCATTCTTTGTAATTCATACTTGATATTTCTATTTATCCTTACGATTTGTATTAAGATTGCACCACATATCCTTAGAACTACGTACAAATTTAACTCTATCCGTTTTTCGGGTAAACAATACTCCCTTCGTTGACTTTTACTTGTTTGCTATACTAAAAATATATTTTCACTTTTGCCTATTAATTTTAGCAAATCAAGAAAAAACTAATTATTTTTTTTCTGTTTTACCTTTATCTTAAACTATTCATTCCTCAAATCATTTCCAAGACTTCTTAAAATACTTTATTTATTATGAGTGTTATGCTAAAATATATATTTCATTTGATTATTTTTTAAAGGGCGTGTAAATTCTATTATGAACAAGTAAAAGTGAACGACGTGACTATATTTTTGAAAAAAATAAAAAGAAAGGAAAGAGGGTGGAAAAGTTTGAAAAATGGATTGTTGATTATATACCTGAGAACTTTAAAGGTGAATTGATAAGAGTCAAAGCAGCAGACAACGATGAGGTAACACGTCTACGCTAATGACAACAACCTCAAACCAGCAATTTCTCAGAAATTGGTGTATAATTAACTTGTTTTAACCCAATATAAAAGATTAAATTGTACGAGAATACACTTACTAAATTATGTATTCGACCATTTTCTCATCTTCTGTGCCTCCTTTCCCTAGCTTAGGTCTGTATAAACATAACTCAATCTTTCTTTTTATATTATCTGTGATATACGTCCGAAAATGACTCCATGCAAGGCAAGAATTTACATCGCGCATATTTTGAGTGCTACACTTTCTCAAGGTGATAAAGTTGTTGCCATGTGATTAGGCGAGTTCAAGTCGTAGAAACAGCCTCTTGTACAAATGCAGGGTAAGACTATTTACAACAGACCCTTGTGATCCGTCCCTTCCCCGACCCCACACATAGCAGGAGTTTAGTGCACCGAACTGCCCTATTTTACACTCCCTCAAGGCAAAAATGAAATTAAAGCTTTCTGCTATTAGCTTGGAGGCCATTCAAATAGCCTAACTAGATTTCCATGGACAAAATCATACTTCCTTGGTACGTATGTCACTAAGTACTTATGCAATATGCACAGTTTATGACAAAGTGTTAGATATACATGACCTTTTGAAAAACCAAAATCCTTAAACAAATAAATAAACAAATAAAGGAGGTATGTGATGGAAACATATAATCATGCAGTGCCTAACTGCCTATATAGTTGGTATTGTAGTGACTGAATTGGAACGAAGGTGGAAATAGCTTTGAAAGAAAATTTGTATCTTTATTTCAATTCTATAACTATCTGATAGACTATCATGAATTTGGAAAGCGCAATGCTCCGACCCCATCTCTATCTCTCCTTGTCGTTGGTGTTAGTTGCACGAGTAAAGTGAGGGATGGATGCATAAAAAGGTGTGAAAAAACTACCAAGAAATATAGTATGATGGATATATAAGATGCTTTTATTTTTAATTAAAAGTTTTGAGTTTAAATTCGATAAACGAAAAAAAATTCTAGTAAGAAATAATTTCCTTTTAATAAAATTTTCAAGTATGAATCTGAATTAATCGATGATCAGTAACTATAGAATACTATGGTTATAAAAAGAGAGGCAGAAAGATTTTCTTAGGATAGTGTTAGTTTAAGAGGGCTTTTCTAGAGATATTAAGGTCGAGGGTCATAGTTTCTTGATGCAGGGTTACCCCACCACTGGATTATGGGAAGACAACTAATAAGAAGATGTGGGACCCCATAATTCTACCTATAATATGGCCCCACAACCTTACCGGCTTACCCTTTTGGTTTGGTTTATTATACTACCCCGTTCCAATTTATGTGAACCTATTTCTTTTTTGTCAGTTTAAAAAAGAATAATCTTTTTCTAAATTTGAAAATAATTTTGCTTAAACTTACAATTTTACCCTTAATAAGAAGCTTTAATAACTACACAAATACTCTAGGCCCCTTTTTGAATTGTTTAGGATCACAAATTTCAAAAGTCTTCATTTTTTCTTAAATTTCGTGTCCAGTCAAACAGGTTCACATAAATTAGAACGGAGGGAGTAACATGTTTGGCCAATCTGCAAAAATCAGCTTATTTTGAAAAGTGTTTTTTTTTAAAAGTGCTTTTTCGAAAGTACTTTTAGTGAAAAACAATTTGTGTTTGGCTAATTTACTTAAAAAATATTTCTGAGCAGCAATTAATGTTTGGTCAAACTTTTAAAAATTGCTTTTATTTTTCTCAAAAAAATACTTTTCGAAAGAAATTACTTTTTTCTGCTTCTCCAAAACTGTTTCTGTTTTTTCTCAAAAGCACTTTTTTCTCTTTAAAAGCTTGGTAAAACACTTGAACTTTGAAAAAAAGTAATTTTTTAAAAAAGAAGAAGTGTTTTTGGCTTGGACAAGCTCGGCCAAACAGGCTATTTCATTCTTTCTTTTTCTCTTCTTTTTTTCGTAAAAATTGTGTAAAGTCCTCTATTGGCCATGATACCAAACCTTTTCATGCATTTTTGGACCCAATATATTGTGTTCCTAACGACTGCATATAAATCATCGTGTTTCCTCCCTTCCCTTTTTACCTCTCTTCTTCAACAATTTTCCAACCCTCTTCTCTATACTCACTTCAGTTGCTAACTATCCATTTTAGGAAATATTCCCTTCTTTCTTTAGTTAGCTAGTTAGGGTGTTTTACTTATAAGTCCGATTTGTGACACAAGGATGAATCTATCTGTGAATGGTCAATCACAAGTGCCTCCGGGCTTTCGTTTCCATCCAACTGAGGAAGAGCTTCTTCACTATTACTTGAGGAAGAAGATTACTAACGTTAGGATAGACCTTGATGTAATCCGCGAAGTTGATCTCAACAAGCTCGAACCATGGGACATTCAAGGTGAGATCCTTCATCAAGTTGTGCATTTTTCCGTTTATATATGATTCTATTTTCAGTCTGTCTCAAAAAGATTGATCATTTTTAAAATTTGAAAATAATTTAACTTTATCTGTGTCAGAGAAGTGCAAAATAGGATCAACGCCACAAAATGATTGGTACTTCTTCAGTCACAAGGACAAGAAATATCCGACGGGGACTCGCACAAATCGTGCCACTGCTGCAGGGTTTTGGAAGGCTACAGGTCGGGACAAAGTAATATACGGCAATTGCAAGAGAATAGGAATGAGAAAAACCTTAGTCTTCTATAAAGGACGTGCCCCTCATGGTCTGAAATTAGATTGGATTATGCATGAGTATCGCCTCGACGACAATACCACCCCCAACGAAGCCGTCAACTTTTGTGTACGTACTCCAATTTTTCTGATGTAATCTGTCTTATTTTCAAGATTACAGAATTTCATCACTTTTTACATATTGTAGCATGTAACATGTCCTGTCAAGATTATAAAATTCCACTGCTTATATACATAAGTTAAACTCATTTAATTTTCATATCCGATCCAGGCCTCCGAATCAGCTGCTCAGGAAGAGGGCTGGGTAGTCTGCCGTGTTTTCAAGAAGAAGAATTACAATAAGGCTCTTGAAATTCCTCAAAGCTCATCTGTTGTCTCAAACACAGATGGCGTACTTGATCAAATACTCACGTACATGGGAAGGTCATGCAAACAACAACATAATCAAACCCAACACATAAGCAATATCCTGCAGTTCAACAACAATGAAAACATTGAATTTGATACTAATATGCTACAAATCAGCAGCACTGGAATTGGTGAGGGCAGTTTCTTACACCTTCCAGAGCTGGAGATTCGTCATCCTACGACAAACATGGAACAAATAATACATCAAGATTGCAGCTTTGATGAGATCATGTCATCAACAGAAACTAATCAACATTATTCTTGCATGAGTAATTACCACGAGGACCGCGATAAAAAAGCCGACTGGGTAGCCCAACTTAATGGCCATCTCCAAACATCAAGCAACAACTTATACTTAACTCAGTGTTATGAGTCACATGAGCTAGCACAGAATGATGATGATGTTGATGTTGAATTTTTAACCTATGCACAATCATCACCATTAAACAACTTGTTGGTATAAATCAAATTATATACTACACCAAACTTAGATAAACTAATATATATTACTACTATATATATCCAGTTAGAAGTATGTATGCGCGTAGTTCAAGGTGTCCAGATAATAGCACCTATTTTGAGTGAGATAACGATACTACTTTTTCCTTTATATTCTAATTAATTATGAGCCGTTCATATTTTCTTTGAAAGGGAATAGTCAACTGGATTATCTTTTCCTAATAACGTTGTCCCCTGTTTGATCATTATATTGTCTATACACAAAGATACTCTCCTTCATGGTCTTTCGGTTGATGATATGCTCATATTTTCCAATTATATGTGTAGTATATATTTTGTTCATTTAGCACCAATTGGTCATGTGCACAAAGATTATAAATTATTAGATCTCTATAGAAAATAGTATTAAATCTAGTAAATTATTAAACTAATCCAGATAAATTATTAAATTTATATTATACAAACAGAAAAATTATTATTTGATCTCCAAATAATAGGGTAGGTGTGCACAAAGCCAAGTAGTTGTGTTCAGCACGAATAGGTACAAAGTGGTTGTGGTGAGCATGGGTATGTTCCAAGTGGTCGTGCTGAACACGACAAGTTCCAAGTGGTCGTATTAAGCACGGGTAGGTTCAAAGTGGCCGTACCGAGCAAGAGTAGGTTCCAAGTAGTTGTGCTAAGCTCGAATAGTTTTTAAGTGACAGTATTGAGCACGAGTAGGTTCCAAATAACCCTGCTGAGCACGAGTAGATTCTAAGTGGCAGTGCTGAACACGGGTAGGTTCTAAGTGGCCGTGCTGAGCACAGATAAGTGCCAAGTGATCGTGCTAAGCAAAAGCAGGTTCCAAGTGGTCGTGCTGAGCACGGATAGGTTTCAACTTTCAAGTGATCGTATTGAGTAAGGGTAGGTTTCAAATGATCGTACAGAGCACGTGTATAGGTCTCAAGTGCACGTGCAAAGCATGAATAGGTTAAAAGTGCCGTCCTGAGAAGTTGTAGATTCCAAGTAGGTAAGTACTTGTAGATTCCAAGTAGGTAAGCAGAGCACGGTAGGTTCCAAGTAGCCGTGTAGAACAGCATTTGTTGCTTTTACAATCAGTTTGTCCCTCAATTCACAAAGTACCAATGAAGCATGCCTAGTTGTTCTTGTTTGTTAGAAAGTCATTTCACGAGTTACAACGTTGTCCATTTAGTGGATGATTATCCAATCTCTGCCCATGCTAATTATGCACCGAGTCAAGTCCATAGGATCTATTTTCGCCGGCCTCATATATCTTTTGAAACGAATTTATATTTCTGTTCTGATCCATTCTATCATTGTAAAGTCACATTCTTAAAGATGACTGCATGAGTGAAAAATAATTTAATTTGTAGCTAAGCATAATGGCATAAAATTGGCATCTTCACATTTAAAGTTACCATCTGCAGTTAGTTACTAGTAACCTCATTCACACCATTAATTCATTCAGAGGGTGTACTAGTGCATAAATTGTACTTAATGTAAATGCTACAAAAGTAATCCAATAGCATATCACCTTATCCATTGTCAAAGTGATTAAACTGAAAAAAATGCAAAAATTGACAGAGCAATTGTTCTTTTCCAGACAAGATGCTAATCCAAGAAATTATATGACATGCTCAAGTACAAATACAGAGAAAAAGATTGACAATACATAAGTTAAACAAAACATCAAAATAAAACTGATCTACAAGATTTGCACTTTAATTCTCACCAACACTTCAACCATCTCAAAACTGATCATGAAATCCTCAATTCTCTAGGATTTGCTCACAATTCAAACTCGTCATTCTTTAATGCCTCAGCCGCGGCCTCTTCCTCTTCGTCATCAATAACAAAGTATGGATTGTGTACCTCAGGCTTGAATTTATATCCAGTAAACAGATAAAATGCCAGAGTTGCAACTTCCCCTGCCACTACACTAGTCCAAAGATACCTATACGATGTAATTGTTTCTAAGGCGTAAACCACAACCCTTGTAAAATAAATATAACATATAACCACGACATAGTACTGCCTAAAAAGTGTCAATTTCATCAAATTCACAGCAGCTTTTCCATCAGATTTTGCAGCCTCGCGCAAATTCTTAATCGACCAAACTATAGGGAAAAGAACGGCGCAGCAACAGATCACATCAACGAGCAAGAAAACCTGTTTCCATGTTACCCATTCTTCCCCATAAGGTCCATTCTCATCTATCACAACTTGAGCTATATTTGCCACAACTTGAAGTGGTATCACAATCATCAAAACCTTCTTCTCCTTGTCCTGTAAATAAGGTTTGAGAAATGACCAACCCGTCCCAATCAACACGATCAACGTGAACAACATTATCCCTTTCAAGAAACTAAAAATATAGAATAGAACATCCCATCCATGAGCACTACCCGTTCGTTTAATATAAGATTTATCCTCTGCTTCACATAACAAATTCAGCGCTTTTAATAAAATCACCGCGAGCATGAAAAAATGAATCGCGTGAATGGTAAGTCGCTTCTTATACAACACGAAAATCCAAAAGATCGCCAAGGAGAAATAAACAAGCGAAAACAGGAAATAAATCCTAGGTAAAATCGCCTTGCCAGCAGAGAGAAAATCGCGGTTGCCTGATTTGGCATCGAGATTGTACATAGCTGATCGGACGGACATTGTAACTTTGAGTTGAGGACAGCAATTAGCAAACACAAGAGAGTACTGATCAGCATCCGTTTCGACAAAAAGTGTGTCGAAAGAGGAGTTGTCACCAAGTTTATCGAAGGTGTAGACAACCTTAACAATATCAGATTGGAGGGCACACGTGATTTCGGCATCCTCAATTTGCTCAAGAACATGCATCCACGTATCACGTGTACAAAGAAAGAAACCAACTTTGGATAGATCAAGATTTGCAGGGCTGTTTGGGACACCAAGGGAAATTTTTGAGACATTGAGTTCTAATCTACCACGATGTGTGAATCCGAATTCGTCGAATGGTATAATTGGATGATCGTCCGAACGAACATCAGAGTATCTGATTTCAGCTAGAGAACATGGATAAAATGATACTATAAAGAAAAACAAGAGAACAGAAATTGAGCGCAACATGATGTAATTAGGTGTATTGCAAATGGAGGATAAGCAAATTAAATGGTTCCTTTTTCTTGTGATTTACATATTGGTTTTGTGTGCAGTGTACGTTAAGAAAGAGAAGAGACACAATGTACTTCTCCTTCTGATTTGAGAAACGGAATTACTCTTTAAGGAAATAGGAGATGCTATAAAAGGAAAAGAGATTAAATCTGTAGGAATTTCCAGAAATGGGCAATATAATGCGGTTATGTTTAGTTTGGTTTGTTGGATGTTTGAGGCGAAAATTATTTTTATTTTTCCAATTGTGTCACCCGTTCGAATCTCATGGTCTAGAGATGAATTGTAGCATCACTAGTGGGGTTTGCCTCCTATTTCAGTGATTAAGAGGCCAAATGCGTATCATAAGTTCTAACCATAGTAATTATTGTCGAATTAGATTTTCTTACATACTTGTGGGTTATTTAAAAAAAATAAAAAAAATGAATTACTGTAATATTATTTATTTACCCGAAAAACGAATAGAGTTGAATTTGTACGTAGTTCTAAGGATATGTGGTATAACTTGACACAAATCGTAAGAGTAAAATGGAAATATCGAATATTGATTGCAAAGAATGAAAAAATAAGCAAAGTTGGAAAGAAGATGATTTATGGATTAAGCAAGATGAATCAATCTATGAAGCTAAAAATGATAACTCTTCAATATAGGAATGTATGACATCTCAGTTACAATGTATGCCAAAACTTTCTTCCCCCCTTTTACAGGAATATAGCTATCCCTTTTATAGTGAGGGAACCCTACTTTAGATATAATTAAAAATACATAGTGGGGAACCCATGATAAATCAGTTTTTCCCTAATTCCCGCCGAGATTCTCTCCCTTAATGCGGCTGCAACGGCTCTTGTCTGTGAGCTCCACCCTGATCGGACTCAGTATCAGTCGATATTGGTCGGCGTCTAGCTTTAGAGTTCGGTGCGGGTTCGAGGTCGATGTTGACTCGGGGTCCGGAAATGACTTAGGCTCGGTATTGGTTGGCCTATGGCTCTTAAGCTCGATTCAATCACATCTCATCATAGTTCGATTCGGACCCGAGCTCGATAATGACTTCGAGCTCGGTGTTTAACTTGTACCTGAAATCTGAAGCTCGGTTGTGCCATCTTCGGATCCATCTCGATTTTATGAAGACTTTCTTCGTTCCATTATGATCCCATCTCGATCAGACGTACGAAGGCCGAAATCAGTTTCGACCGTATACAGATAGTCCCCTCGTTTTTCGGGAAGGATGTGGCGAGAAACGATATAATTTCCCAACGGCTCGATCGGATATAAGCTGACGTTTACATCGGACTCGATCATGACTCACGTGATAATTGTCCCGTCGGATTAGTTTTTCAAGGCATTTAATGCGTGTCAGACGGTGGTCGGCCACCGCTGATGTTGAACCGCCATTGCTCAATCTATAAATAGCCCCTCCTTTTACCATTTATCACTTTTACATCTCCAAATTTTTCAAGTTCTTCTTCTCAGTTCATCTATAAATCTGTGATCTTTCACTGCAAAGTCTCTCTTAAAAAATACCAAATCTTTGTTACCTCTTTCTGTTTTTGATCTTTAAACCAAAAATGGCGAAAACATCAAAAATCATTCCTCAGAAAGAAAAAGCTTCTTCTTCACAGCTCGCCGCCGACAAAACACTGGTGGAGCCACGACCTAAGGAGTGCGTTCCTGGGGCGTGTGTTCTTACCTCTGATTTTTAGGTCGACAAAGGCTCGTCGGTTCCTGGCCGATATAAGCCAGTATCGAGGTATATGTGTTCGATAACCGAGGGGTACCTCGAGCAGCTAAAGAAAGATTGCAATTGGGAGAACAAAAAAATAGTAATCACGTCCCCTGAAGAAGATATCACCACTTACGTTAAAGGGTTTTTAAGCGTGTATACTTACCCTTTCATGTTAGGTCCTCTCGATCCTGTTATTATCAATTTCTACTGTCAATACCAAATAACCCTAGGCCAGATCCATCCTTCTGTTTGGCTGATCGTTATTTTGATCTGTTTCTTCAAGAACAAAATCGAGGGGATGCCTTTCACCATCGACCATCTCATTCGATTGTACTGCCCTCGCCTCTTTCGAGGTGGGTTTGTAAGTACGTAATTTTTTACCCGCGCAACAATTAAAAGTAGCATTTTAAAAATATTTACTTATTTTTTATTTTTATAGGATTTCAGTCAACTTTTAATTTTTATATTAAAACATAAGTTTAAAAACACAAAAATAATTTATTCTTATTAAGTAAGATTAACTAGTTTATTTTGGTAGTATTTTTATTTTTGTTCAACGAGAAAGAATTAAATTTAAGCCAAAACAATTTACTGGTGAAGCCCATTTTCGAACCTGAGCCCAATCCCTTAACCCTAAGCCCCTTTTCCCTACCTAAAGATAAATACACACACAAAGAAATAAGGGGGGAACAAAAAAATTTCTAAGCTAAGAAATGGCAAATCCCCCGCCTGGGGAGATCTTCCTTCTTGTTCTCAAGATCAAAAAGAAAAAGAACAGCACACACACATTAAACAAAGAAACAAAAACGAAACAAGGGAAGTGAGAAAAACAAAAAATAGGAAATTAGATTTCAAAAAAGAAAAACAAAATCCTCCCCCTCTTTCTTTGCCTCTTTGCTTCAAATTGGAGCCAATCGATGCTGTTCCTTCTTTTGATCTTTAACACGCGAAGCCACTGTCCAAATTAAGCCGAGTCAGTAGAGCTCATTCGAGGTTTCCGGCGTGTCTTGTTGATGAACCTTTCCATTCAATTTTGTCGGCGTGCTCTTCTCATCATCTTGTAAACTGCCAGAAAGCTTTTTGATAAATTGGAAGCCATAAAAGGTCCCCTTCTCCCTTTAATTAATTCTTTCATTTTGTTCCTGTTAGTTTGAGAAAGGTTCAGTCGATTCATCGTATTAGCATGAATTTGTTTATTGTGTTAGTTAGCTAATTGATCGTCTAGATAAATATTTACAATTTGTCTATACCATTGCATCTCCAGTGTTTCTATTTTGAGCATGTGTCTTTGAGTTACGCATTATTTTATCTTTAGTTTATTTTGTAAAAGTTTGGAAAAGAAAGCTCTAAGGAATTTTATTAAGTCAAATGGGCTGATATGATTTGTTTCATATGGTTTGGGCCTTACTTTGTCAATAACGATAAATGGGTTGTATGTGTTTGAGAAGAATTCAGGTGATATCTTTAAGTTGTTATTTTCTTGCTGGCTTCACATGGTATTAAAATGTAATTATAATCTTTCAAGGCCATCCTCTTTGTTTATAATTGTAGTTTGTTTTAGGCACGTAAATAAATCATCATGACTATGGGTACGGTTCCCGTAGCATAGTCATGATACGTAAATCCCAATTCGAGTGTGCGTTTCACGTGACTGGACTATAACTTCAAATAATAATAAAAATAATCATGTTGTAAATCACAGGTGCGTTTCACGTGACGCGATTCACAATGTGTACAAAAATAATAGGTGCGTGACATCGCAACTTATTTAAATAAATTCCATAAATATTAAAAGCTGTAATGCACAAAAGGTTCTAAAACATGTAATAATTTAGATAATTAGGCCAATTATTAATAGTTGAGCGACCGTGCTAAAACCATGGAACTCGGGAATGCCTAACACCTTCTCCCGGGTTAACAGAATTCCTTACCCGTTCTTCTGTGTTCGCGGACCATAAATAGAGTCAATTTCCTCGATTTGGGATTTCAAAATAAACCGGTGATTTGGAACACCATAAATATTTCAAGTGGCAACTCTGATTGAATAAATAATATCATTTCGACTAATGTCACTTAAATTGGAAATACTCCCTTATCCCTATTCCCCCTTCGGGAAAAAGGAGGTGTGACAGCTCTGGCGACTCTGGTGGGGATAAGAACCCAGAATCTCTGGTTCAGGGTTCATAATTCGAGTTTAGAATAGTTATTATGCTTGGCTTTCATGATTGTCTGATTTTTACGTGTTTGAGCTTAATGTGCTAAATGCCGCTTTTTTACCGCTTTGATATTGTGTGAATTGTATATAAACTGCTACGAAACCCTTCTTCTCTCTGAGTCTTCTAAATCTTCTGGGAAGCGTGCGCTTCGCGTGGCTTCTTTTCTATTAGAGTCATATCCTAATTTTAGAACGAGGTTCGGACAAGTTGCAAAGCCGGTGAACCTTCTGTATTCCCGGTACGCTGCTCCTCCTCGACTCGAGTTGTCCGCTCGGGCAAGCCAGGTCTAGAACAATACCCTCAGGGTTCAAACCTAGAATAACATAACCTCATGCCGGATCCCTAGTAGGTACGTTTGTTTGCATCACGTGTATATGACTTTGGGGACTCAACACAGGGGTTGGGTTCGTCTAGGACAGGTGTACCCCAAAATAAAAAGACCATCCTGATGCATCTTACGTGCTACTTGTTGCATTTATTTATTCTGGTTTGCATGTTCACTGGCTTCTAGAATAGGGAAAGAAAATCAAGAAACACAGGAGAGAGAAATTGACTCGGTTCCTGAAAATTCCGGTATTTGAAAAAAAAGGAAGGAAAATAAGATCCTGAAACTCTGCTTAATTTTTAGAAGGTTGTCACAAATGAGTCCAAATTTTCAAAAAAAAAATGACATTTTCCCCTGGTTCTCAAAAACTGACCGAACTACGCGGGTCTGATTCTCACCGGATATGAGATATGTGGGCAAACCTCATCGGTTCCGTCCCACAATTTTAAAAATTCAAAAATATTTTCCTTTATTTCCTCCTTTAGAAAAGTCTTCCTTTGAGACCCCATTTTTTAAAAAATCCAAAAAAACTTTCCTTTAATTCCTTCTTTAGGAGTCTTTTTTTTTAAAATAATCCCCAAAAATTATTTAAAAAATAAGAAAACTTTTAAACTAAAAAAATATTTTATTTGTAGGAGTCTTTTATTAAAAAAAGAAAACAAATGAAATCAAAATCCAAAAAAAAAATATTTTCTACATTTTTTTAGAAAGTCTTTCTCCCAAAAATCCAAAAACAAAAAATAAAACATCAAAAGCCAAAAAATATTTTTCTTTCTTATATAGAAGTCCTTTTGGAAAAAATTAGAAAAAAAAACAAATCAAATTCCAAAAATATTTTCTTTCTTCTTTATAAGTCTTTCTTTCGG